GGCAATTAATTAAAAGAAACATGAATATAAAATGAAATGCTTTAAATGTTAACCAGAAATATCTTATTTGTGTTGGGATGTTGTTTTTGTTATCTGATTTGCATTATGAAAAAGCCAACTCCGTTTTGCTTGTAAAGCTTTTAAAGCTGCTGGTCAGATGGTGCATCTCTGTGGAAAGTTTGTATGTTCTTCGTGTAGTTGAATTTGTTTTCTGTGGGGGCTTCTTCTTCCCATCCACAGTCCAAAGGCCTGCATATTAGATTAATCTTGCCAACCCCGCTGAGGTGTCAGTGCGAGTAGGTGTGAGTAAAGCATGCATAGCGGTTTAAGTTGGACTCCTGATGGAGTGCTCAGATGGCAAAGCCCAACCAACTCTGAATTGCCTGAATAGAGTTTAGTTAATTTCTCTTTCACTTAGCAGGAGTCCATTCAAAGCCAGTCATGCTTGGAAAGTGATCAAATTAAACTAAATGAGTTGATTTAATCACTTCCCAAGTCTGGATAAGAAATAACATAATTCCTGAACAAAATGCAACCCCCCCCCCCCAAAAAAAAATAAAATAAATAAGTATCGACAAAATGTGTTCTTATTCACATATCTTTTTCTAACTTCCCTAATTAAGATACTAAGGAACATAACATGTTTGCTTGTAAAAATTCAGAAACTAGCATCTTAACCAAAGAGTTACATAAATCTGGGCATTAAAAGTATGATTACTCAAAATAACCTTTACTGTTTTTTTTATCAAACTTTGTTCATTAAAAGAGTATTTTTTTTCCATTGCAAGCTAAAAATAACCCAAAATCAGTTAAACCATTCCAAATCAGACTGTTTTATTTAAGATTCCACTTTAGTCAAACTCAAATTTCTCTCAGTTTTTGAATAAAATTGAGGAATAGCAACTCTACTTGTCTACTATTGCAAAGTTGATGTACCCTGAACACCAGTAGTCATATGCAATTTTTTATGTCACAATCACAAACTTAGATGTATTTTATTTGGATTATATGCATACACAAGATGCAGACTTTTTAGTAATTAAAGAAAAACTATCAATTCAGCTGGACATGGACCCGAAACAATCAACCAGATCTAAAATAATACAGCTTAAATCAATAGATTTATTCCGATAAAATATGCTGCAGTTTTAGAGTTAAAAGAGATAAGTTTCCCAATGAGCTTATTTGGTGTAAAGTGGGGTTTTATATAGAATATTTTGGTTAGCCATTCTGTTTCTGTGCCCTCTCTTTTTCCAGGTTTCCTTAACCTGTCACATAAAAGTCCCCATAAGAGCTCTAAAGCCACAATTCACCAAGGGTTTCCCCCTTGGCGATAACTTCCAGACAGGTTGGACAAGATTTAAGAGAGGGACAAACAAACAATATGAGTCACCACCACAGAGACACTGCAGACTGTCAGTAACCCAACCTTCAGATAAATCCCACTCCATTAATGAGACTGTGTCTTTCCCTTGCAACACTCAGGCAGAAGTAGAGTTTAACTAGTCATTATACAACATTTCAGAAAACAACTTTGCTGCCACTGATGCTGCAAAGCTTTCCGACTGTGCACCTGTATGGGATGTCAACGTGCCAGTATCACATAAACAGGCAGTTAATTCAGAGTCAGACAACAAGCTCCGTTTATTTTGCAGCAATTAAAATTCCTCAGAGAAATGAAAGCCTCACTGTGTATTGAACTTCAATAGTATAACAGATGGCCCAATTTATCTTTGTCAAAATTTCCCATCAAAGGGAGGGGGGTCCATCTGCAATGAACAGATAAACTGGTCACAGATGAATACAAATAGACAATATATATGATAAATTGGCGACAATACAGTTGCATGGAGATTGAATCAGTATAGAGACTGAATAGGGTTGGCAAGCCTTGTGCAAAAAAGGAGAGAAATCCATGATTCACTTTTTTACCCCGGGGAACCAGACGGCTGTACAAGGGAAGGGTGTGATTGAGAAAATGATTTGCTGTTTGCACACAGAAGAGAAGGAGAAATATGAAATAAGTGGATGTCAGGAGCAAATGGTTGATGAATGACTCGACCAAAAGATGAGGGTAAATAACTCGCATAGTTTTGAAAAAGTATTTACATCCCTTGATCTTTTAGTTTACATTTTATAACATTGAAACCACAAATGTCATACTTCGAGTACTATGTTTGGGGTCATTTTCCTGCTCGAAGGTGATCATCCACCAAGTTGTCTGCAGTCTACAGTATAACAGCAGTGATTTTTTTTCCCTATACATATTTAGCTTTACTCATCTTCTTATCATCTCTAAAGAATAGACCAGGCATACTGTTGCCACTGCATATTTTATTCAAAGAAAGGGGTTTTCTGTCATACATTGCGCTTTGCGTTTTGGTCCAATTTGACCAATAAACTTCTTGTCCTCAAAGGTATAGTGGAGGGTTATCGTGAATTTTTTAAAACACCCGCCCTCAAAAATGCACATGCACAACCGTTTACCTGCTCCAAGAGGGAACGCCTATTAAATGTGTGCAAGAGCATGCACGAGCCCATATTCTCCTCGTGCACGCTCCATTTATAAGTTGTTGTTTGCATCGCTTATACAAGCTTAGTTTCCAAAAGAAGATTTGCAAATTTCCACTATGTCAGATTCACCACCAGTAAGTGAAATTGAGGATGAGCACATAGGGCGGCCTAACATAAACATATGACCAGAATGATTGACAATTACGAGGACCACTTATTTTGATGATCCACGGGGAAAAAGAAAATCCTCCTCTATACCTTTAAGTGTCCGTGTATTTGTTGTATCCACTACATGACACGTGGCCCACTTCAGGTTAGTTTGTGGTCTGAATTCATCCAAAAAGCAAAGGCTTAAGCTTAGAGCATTGGTCCCACCCAGTCACTCTGATCCAAAGCAACTACTGTACACACCCAATCCCTCAATGGAAATGTTGGAAGAAAGCTTGTTGTGAACTTGAGTTTGTGTATTCACTATAAGTAGTTTTGTAAGATCTCTATGTGTCTGTTGTTCTACTGCAAAGTCAAAGCAATACGTTGTGATTTATTCATATTCTCAGCCTGCCCATGGGAATCTTGCAGCCTGGTCTGTGATTGTTTTGGGCTCATCCCTCTTGGCTTAAATTTAAATCTTGTGCTTTAAATTCACCTCTGTGTTCAGCTTTGTTGGCAAGCTCAGATTCTGCTTCTTTTAAAAACTACAAACGTTAACTGTCCACTGTCAGTCCAGCAGTAGTTAACCAAAACATCAAACTGAATTAAAACTAAAGCTATTCAAATGAGCACGTTTGATCAGTTGAATATTAGAAAACCTATTCTACAAACTAAAAGCAAAGAAAGGCATTTTGAATATTTGAATATTGACAATAAGACTGGTACCATTCTACAAGTGCACAAATCATTCAAACCAAACTTTGCACATATTTGTTATCTATTTTTCTGCTATTTTACATCTTTCTTACATTTACCTTACTATTTTTTTAGTGAACAGCACCTGACCAAGTTAGAATTTGGGGTAATCAATAGAGTCAAAACACTGTATGAAAGGTTTTTTTTTTGTTTGATTAAACCTCATGATCAAATACACTAACAAAATATGACTTAATCATCTAAAAGATGCTGTCACAAATGCTTCTATTTATATCACAATTACTCATAAAGTAGTAGGTACTGGATTTTTATAGACAAACATTGATAAAGGAATGTGATAAATAATTGTGCTGTCGTTTATAATCTGTATCTATGTAACAGCAAAGTAACATTTAACTTACTGATTTAGAAACAGTGCCCAGACTAAGAGACAACATCTTTTAAGGACCTGCAACTTTCTCTTAGATTCCCATATTCTTTTTCTCCTACACTTTTTTGCAGATTAGTGGCTGTTGCTGGGAATCATACTGCATCTAGATAAAACAACCCTCCACACTTTTAATACCAGTGTTGCAGAAAGTTTGAAGCAAAATGTAATATTTGCATGATGAAAACATGAAAGCGGTTATTTTAAAAAGAAAATTAGGCATAATTAGTAGCACCCCTAAAAAGTCTTTAAGCTGATTAAAGTGTCAAGCCACTTTTAATTTGCATTCCACAACTTACTGATTCTTAAATAACGTGATACAAATGCTCAGTTCTGTAGCCAATCCATTAAGAAACACAAGGGAACATGTCGTTCCTGTACTGCAGATGTGTGTTGGTCTTTAAGTCAGGGCATTGCTGAATGAAAATAGCTACTTAAATAAATTTTTCCATATCTATAATTAAGAAATTATTAAAAGGTTAAATCATCTGGAACTAAGACAAAAGAAAAGGAACCAAATCTCCACCACTTGCAATGAAAATAGTAAAGGAGGTTAAAACATTGAGTGCTGAGATAGTTAAATCAGGAAATCAAAATGACTAAACCCTCATGTTTTGCAAAAAAAATTTACGTGAAAGTGCAGCGTGATGTTAATTCAGTATGTTTATCCATCTCTATAATTTCTAAAAATCTAGATTTGAGCCAGTAAAAATACACCTTGAGAATAACCTGTACGGGCGACTGATGATCACAGATGTCATTCGCCAGGAGATTCCTTAAAAACTTTGCATGTGATATTCTGTTCAGAATAACCTTCATCATTTGAACACCCCACAAAGCACTAATTGACAGGTCTGACTGCACCCTGATATGTGCTGAATAAATAAAGCTGAACAGCATCCAGAAGCACTGATGGTCATCCTCATGCCAGGATCCTGCTGGCACAATCCTTCCCAATTAGAAGATTTATATGCACAGCCTTAATTTCACCATGCTTTCTAAGATGCTGGTTTATGACAGCAAAATAGCAGATGGAGGCCCTAACACCAAAGCCGGACTAAAATCAGAGATGGACACTTCCCTCCTGGCTGTCCTGGTAAGGATTCTTTCCCTGAAGACTTTTTTCATTGATTTGATAGGATAACATGTCGTCCTAGAGTTATAAACTATTATGCATGCACATTTTCTCTACCTCGATCTGCAGCATGGTGATCTCCTCTTCTATCTTCCTCTTAAGGATCCCGTCCCCTTTCTTCAGGCCTATTTGCCTCTTCTCCTCATTAATCTTTATCTTCAATTCTCTCATGTCAGTCTCCATGGTCTCCATTGCCATGTTTCTGTTAGTGATGGCTGCCTCCAGGTTCTTCGTCTGCTCACAATAGTTTAACAAAACTTTTTCCTGTTCCAGGAGCTGTATTCCCCTGTACAAAAAACAGAGAAAAAGATCATAGAGAATAATACTTAGTGTAGGATAAATCTACCTGCCATACAGATGTGGGGGAAAATAATAATGAGCTTACAGAATAATGCGTCTCTGTGAGGCTTTTTCAAGCCCTTTCTTTAGTCCCAGAAGGGTATTCTGTTGGAACTCGATCATTTGGGAGAGATTAGTTAGCTCCAGTTTGTTGTCTTCATACTTTTGACTGATTTGATGCCGTTTGCAGGTAAACTGGAAAATGTTAATAAATCAAAATCCCATTTTTAAAACTTACAGTAAATGTACACCTATGGTGAGTGGAGCAAAGAGCATGACAAATCCAGTTTGAGTAGAAACAAGCTTATTTTGGTCATAAACAACATAAGGAAATGGATAAATTGCAGAAAGCAGAGAAGTCCATAAACTCATAAACAGCCTGTGTGTGAGAAACGGCTCAAAAGCCTCATTAAAAGGTACAAATAATGCTGGATGTGCAGTAGCTTATAGATACCTATGAAACAGTCCAAAATAAAAAGGGTAAGAACTTCCACTAGAAAGTTGCTTCTGGCTTACTAAGAAAAAAAACATGCTTTGATAAATCCCCAGAAATGTCGTCCAGCTCTCGTTAATGAGAGGCGTAGTATCATTTCTGTTGGATATTGACTGTGCTTCAGTCTTAGACATGCATAGCACTCATTTTACCCCACATTTTGAGTGTTTGTGAGCAGACCTTAGATATCTCATTACACAGTCTTTCCCTCGTTTTGGAACCATTGGAGACGTTTATACGAGCTTTTGTTAATAATCTGAAACAGACATACAAAGACATGTTAAACAGCACATACCCATTGAACTATTTCCCCATTTTGTTAGGATACAGCTAAACTTTACTGTGTTGCATAAGCATTCTTTGTGAAAGACAAATGCAAAGTAGTGCAGTGCATTTATATGTTTTTAAAACACTAAAAGCGTGACTTTCAGTAGTGGTCAGTGTCCTTTTAACCAGTTTAAGTAATATCCAGTTGATATAAGAAGTTTCCTAATTTTGCATAACTGTTCACTCAGTTCCCTAACAAACCTTTAAGGTCTTCATGTAGCAGCTTTATAGTAACTACATTATGAACACTATGAGAGACAAAAGGCATGTAAGGGTGAACTTTTAAAGCAGTTATGTTATAGTATTTGTAAACTGACAAACAAAGCCTTCTTTGAAAACTGTTAAGAATAAAGCTGCTATTGTAAAAAAGCCATAAACGCAATCTGGTATGCATCTATAAAAACAGATTGCTCATTAGTCTAAACATGCCACCCAAATAGTTAAAACAAAGTCAGGGAGGCTGACAGGAGTTATGAGATGAATGCAGCTCCTTTTTGGAAGGAAAAAAGCTTAACAAATGTCTTGAATCTGGGATGGAGTTTCACCCTCCAGAAGGAGCATGATCATAAGAATACAGCTAGAGCTTTAAGCCTTTGTGCTTTATGCATCTGCAAGGTCTGCACAGCAAAATGTTTTCATTTCAGCTACCAAAACTATCTGTGCAGCCTGATTTTTCTGCCATTTTGCAAGTAAGAGTCATTTAAAATCCTGATTTTCAAAATGCAACAAAAATTTGCACAAATAATTGAAGCAAACAAGGATCACTACTAATTACGAACTCTAAATGCAAACCCACTAGATTTGTATTTGCAAAAAACAAGGACAAAGAAAAACATCCCTTTTCCATTCACTTTGCAGATATCCACATAATTTAGTTTTTCACATGGAATCCCTAAAAATATATATTATTGTTGTGGTTGTTATATAACTAAATGCTAACAATTCTTGATCTATTATGTAGGTTTATCCAGTTTAACAGTAAGCTCAAGCTGAAACAAATCAACACACCTGTCCTTGCTATCAGCGATGGAGCGCTGAATTTCCATCTCGTTCCCAAGGATGTTTAGTTGCTCTCCCAAATCCGAAATTGTCTGTGAGGCAATTTGTTTTAGCCTCACATACTTATTCTTCTCTTCCTTGAATTGATTATAGAGTTTTGCATACTGTGATACTCTGAGGAACAAAAAATAAAAAAGCAATTGGTTAGAAATTTGTCCCCATCAAGGAAAACTGGAAGCTGCATTATTAGACAGTCGGATATACCATTTTTACAGCTTCTTTTAATGTAAAATTTAGGCTTGTTTTGCACAGCAACTGTTTATTTTCATCTTTATAGAATAGAAATATGAACAAAAGTGAGGTGGGAATCATTAATTGTGAAGAACAAATAAACAAAGAACTAAACATCCAAGAATGCACAGAACACCAAAGTCTGGCATCAGCGTATTATCACTAATCTCCATTTATTCATTGGATTGCTAATAGACATATTAAATAAATTACCTGCCGCCTTCTTGGTACTCCCCACTCTCACGGAGTCGCACCATAAAAATTTCTGTTATGTCATGTATTTACCATAACATTATAATCAATACATGTACATCATTAATTAAGCACTCTTGGCACATCATCAGATAATATCTGACTACAGTATTATTATGCTCCAATAACACACTCATTTGTTGTGATGGATTTGTATAATATGTTAAATTACATGATTTATTGACTTCATACTGAATATGCAATGTGATGTGCCTATTTTTTATTTTTTAGAATAAATTACATGCTCTACTGAATCTATGAAACAGCAAGTTTTTGTTAAGGTGATGACTTTATCTTTATTTTAAAGACTTAAGCCCTCCTGAAAATGAGAACATTATCGTTGTTCCATGCTGTAGCGCACTTATTGTTTACATTTTGACCTGTCTAACTAATAAGTACCAATATGGCGGCTGGTGACCTTACAGAACCATGTACTACCAACAGCCTATCAACAATCCATTGAAAAAAATAGAGATCAGTGAGTATTATACAATAGATTCCTATGTAAACAAAAAACAAAAAGCTAATGAAACGTATGTGATAGCTCATAGGGCAAAGATGAGTATGAGGATTTGGGCAGTGAATCTATGGGAATAGTTGGCCAAGAGCAGCAGCATTAATATTCGACAGATCCGGAATATACAAAACAAAAGCACAAACTAAAAACCCACAGACAATTTAAGTCCTACTAACCATCACTTAATAGTCACGATGCACATGGACCTCAATGCTAAATATTCACCCAACAACTTTTTCATCTTCATTAGCAGATCATATGATGCTTTTTAAGCAATGGAGCAGTGAATGAAATCAGCTGAAAATCTCACAGTTCCTCACAATATCAGTCTTTATTTTAAGAGTGAGATTTTCACAGTAATGTTGCTGTCATAGCCTCCTTCTGTCACGCTGCTCAAACTCAATTAGCCTGTTCACTGTCAATCTTCTCCAAGAGGCATGTTTGATCCTTAAAAAGTCCATGACTGAAGGAGACGTTAATACAATGGCATACAATATGTAAATCTTTTGTTTTGGACAATAAGATCCTCACCCCCACAGAAAAAAACATACAGTATTTGCTATGGGAGGGTGTTCAAACAGGAGCATCCATCGAAGCCAACATTATGAAAGAGTAGCTTGTTTTTTGGCAGTGGAGGGAAATTATCCTCTTTTTTTCCCCCTCGCAAGTCAAACTCACTTTTTGCAGATGGAGAATCTTTGCTGGAATGTGAGGGCGCACTTTGATACCCATCCATCAAACATATTCTTATTTAAAAACCCCGTCAAAAAAGCAATCTGTTTACTAGTTGCACTCCTATGCCAGATGAATCACAGTCATCCATATGCTGGGTTCAAATATTCTTCTGTGTAAGAAAATCATATTTTAGAATTGATTTGTTTAGGTTTCATGCTTTCCAGATTTCTATGCCTTTCATCTCTAAAACGTGATTATATTAACCTTTGTTTATAGGATCTTGTTAAACAATCAAAAAAAGGACATTAAAGAAAAGTACCTTGTTTTTGAGCACACACAAAAAAAATCGAAGTTTCTTAATAAGGCAAAATACCATCAAAATAATCTTAATTTCAAATTCAACAACTCACTGATCAGAAAATCATTAAATAAAATTCTTATAAGCAAATGAAGATTCATGCAGGCTAACACTTCAATCAGCTTTCGTTTAAAATTCATGTACGACATGAGGTGTGAACAGTGATTGCTAAATGAGAGAACCACGAGAGGATAAACAAATTTTTAATTATCCTCCTGCTGCGTTTTTTGCTTTCGGGAGGATTTATTCCATGTTCAGTGCAGCATCATCAGTATGTTTTCTGCATGCCGTGACCCAAATGAATGCACTGGAGAAGCCTGTTGTTGTGCTGCGAGGCACTGTAGGCGTCAGCACACCGAACTATGACCAATTAGCAGGACACGCATTCCTCTGCAACGTCATCCTTATCCAGACTCGCACACTGAATAGAGGAATGAAAACACCACCTGTGTTGGAGCAACATGTTGAGCTTGTTGTGGTCGATGATGAGCAGCTCTTTTTCTTTGAGCTCCTGCTGGATGCGCTCGCTCAGTTGCTGTGGGAAGATTAAAAAAAAAATTATAACTGCACCATTTCCATTGTGTGGGTTTATTAAGATACAAACCCTAATTTTCTAATTATGAATACCTACATTTGAATAATCCTAACATAAATAATGGGATAGGCTAAAGTGCTTTATATTGTCCTGTGTGTGTTAGTACCTGTGCCTTGAGTCGCTCCTTGTGCTTTTTACCCCTCTCTTCTGCTTTAATCAGTCTTAGACAACTCAGGTTATGGAGTTCTTCTCTAAGATGATTTGACTCTGTCAGCAGCTCTTGAATTATCCTGTAGTGCTGCTTCCTCTGAGTTTCCTCTTCAGCCACAGAAACCTGCTTGGGAACACCTTTCTGCAGTAAAAAATCTCAAATATTTGGGTTAAATTGCTGGAATAAAAACATCAAGATGAAGATAAAAAAAAAAAAAAAAAAAAAACGAAAAAAAACAGATTAACACATTAATAGAAAGAAGAGGAGCATATTCGTAAATAAATCTCCAAAGATGCTTAAAGGGGCAGTGTGCAAGGTTTACCCCCACCTAGTGATGCACTAGCTTAATTACATGTGGCACACTGGTCAAGCTTGTAAGAACAACAACTAAAGCACTTGTCAAATCTGCAAAAATAAACGATGAAAAGTGTAATATTTCTCTGAAAACATAGCTAAAAAAAGCCTATGCCCGTTAGATGATACGAATTTAGTGCAAAAAAAGCAGCTCCTAATTGTTGCATTTGAGCACGTCCAGTGTAGGATAACAATCACGTTTAATCTAACAGCTGAAATAAATAAAAAACTAAAATAATCTATGAAATAAAAAAATAAAACAGAAAATGACAACATGGGTCTTCAACTGGGTGAATCAGCTGCTATTTATTTGTAAACTATGAGAATGCTTTTATTTTTGATGTGAGGTTATAAGCTTTTCAACACATGTGAAATTGACAAAGCAACACTTTATTTTTGCTAATAAAGATGGCATATTTGTTACACACTGTCCCTTTATGGCTTTAAATATGGAACCTGCAAAAAAGGAATGGAAGAAAATAAGAAGAGTGGGCTGACAGACATGCAGGCTGAACATAATGTATACACAGGTGGTGGGAAGGAAAAACAGGCAGGGGACAAATAGGAGAAATAAAACTAAAGAAAGACGGTTCTAGAAAGAATAGCAATTAGGTTGGACACAAGGATGGAAAAAAGTCAATGACTTAAGGAAAAATTACACATGAAAAGAATGAAAGAAAAGGGAAACGGGTTACAACTTAGGTAATTAGAATATTTAGAATTAGAATATTGGACACTCATAAGAAACTTTAACTCATAGATTTATTAGACATAGTGCAAAAAAACACTTTAATGTGATTTTGATGATTATGAATCAAAAAAAGGTTTGAAACAAAACAACTGGTCTTCAGTTCTTATCCTAGATAGCTGGTGACGCCAAACCTTACTGTTGCATGGTTATCTTTTAGAAACTTCTTCTCACTCCAGGCTGGGCTTAAAATCTCTCCTCTCATAGAAATTAGGAGAATGAACTGTTGTCTCATTGGGACTCATTATATTTTTTGTCAACTGGCAAAGTTTCATTAGTTTTCTCCAAGACATCTTAAAAGTTGTGCCTCCATGATGTATCCTTAAAATCTGCGCCACTTGCTCCCACCAGTCTTTACTTTGAACATGCAATGTGATTGAATAGAGCATCTAGGCAAGGATTTCTTAAAAATCTCATCTCTACAGTGTAAATAAACACCTTAGATCAGATTTGGCCTTTTATTGAAACTAAAGATTATTGGGCTGCTATATGCATTAAAAAACAATATCTGTTAATAATAGATTTCCCTAGTTATCACATTTATATAATGAAGATTCTGAGTAGGCTCAAGGATATACCATGTGCTTTTATAGATGAGTGGTGTCACTCATTAGTTGTCAATGACTTTGTTTTTTTTGTTTTGTTTTTTTTTACTCTCTAAGAGCATCCACCTTCCCTGTCTAAAATATAAACATTTTGACCCTTAAAAGAGTCTTCCTTGTCCTTGAGAAGTACGTTGTTAGTTAATCTTGTCTTGAGGAGCTGATGATCCTTGGCTGAGCCAAAGGTTTGTAGTGCTTGGTTAGTTTCCTCTGTATAGAGGTCGGAGTATTCCTCACTGCACTGTTCTGCATACGCCTCAGTCTGTGTTTAGGTAGTTTGTCCTTGAGATGATGCAACCTCTGTGGGAGGATTTGGCTGGGAATGAAATCAGTGTTGTTTGGAGAAAGCCATTCTGAATTGCTCATATCTTCTGCTAATGTGAGGATCAGTATGTTCTGTGTTCTGTTGAGCAATGATGGCTTACAGATAATTAACGCCCAAATGAGCGTCTGAGAAAATTAGAGCACTGCAGAAAAAATTGAATAATAAAAACTCATAACATCACATTTATCAGCTAATTAAACAACAGCAACAACAACAACAAAAAAATCAACAGATGTCTCCTGTGACAAGTTAAGCCCATGTAAGATGCATTAACTTTGTGCTGTGGTCCAAAGTCCTGTTAAAGTAAAGTTTGAATTTCATTTGGAAATCAAGGTCCAAGACTTTAGAGGAAAAGCTGAGGAACAGCAGGAATCTATGCTGAGCTGATTTAAAAAACTTGGAGATGCTGTGCTTAATTGTGTGAATGCTGTAAAGCATTCACACTATTGAGATCCTGTTTCTCTTTATTGTGTGAATGCTGTAAAGCATTCACACTATTGAGATCCTGTTTCTCTTTATTCTTTATTATTATTATTATTATTATTGTGTGAATGCTGTAGGCATTCACACTATTGAGATCCTGTTTCTCTTTATTCTTTATTTATTATTATTTTTATTCTTCCAACCATTTTTTGTAACGCTACTACTTCTGCATACTTTGTGCTATTTCAACCATTCAAATTTCACAAAATTCAGCTAATTAAGGACATGTCGGCTATGTCTTTTTGTACTTCTACCTCTTTTGCTTTTTAAATTATTCTGCTTTTTCTGCAAATTTTTGCTTCATTGAAATGAATGGCATTTTGCTAAAATTCTGCTAAATCTTCTGCTATTTTGCTCTTTAACTACTTCTGCATACTTTCAGCTAGAAACACCATTCAACTTTTAAAAGGTTTCCGTATCTTTCTGCTATTACAGTTTAACTCGGCTTTTTGCTAACTTTTACAGTTTTGCTTCAGTGAAGCTTCAAACTTTTAAACAATTTTTAAAGATTTTCAAATTTATAATGGAAGTCTATGGACGGAATGTTCAGCTGCTAGAGTGTGCCACTCTAGCGTTTTCAAACATTTCACTCATGCCGAACAGCTTCAACTGACTCGCTCATCTTTTACTCTATCTAGATAAATTTTACATCAAAACGTAGGGATTTTTGTCAGGATTCAGGAAATGTAACCCTCATTTGTGTGGCATTTACGGTTTTCCGACAGTTTGGCCCAGACCACGAAGAAGTCCAAACTTCCCCAATAGAAATCCAATGAGAGCTCTCTGAAAATCCGAACTGAAAATTCAAAAAAACAGACTTTTTCGTATCGCTCCCATTCGGGAACCATTCGACGTAGCAACATGAGCCTTAGTGAAGTTGTTCCTCAGACCTTCCTAGCACTCACATTGAAGGAAGTGTGTCGATATCTTTTATCGTTTAGCTAGGAAAAAGGTTTGTTCGGGGGTAACAAATCTGTCCGAACTCCAAAATCAAGATTTTGACAATTATACACTTTTTTACATCGTCACCACGCCTAGACGAAATATTGTAGAAATATGAACGTTACACCAGTTGTAGTCCAAAGATGGCTGACGCTCACGGTGAAAGAATTTTTTGAATACCTAATACGGTTTTGGCTCACCGCTCGTTTGTTCGGAGGGAAAGTTTTGCTTTTGAGAGTTCTGCTCTACCATTGTGCTGCATGTTAATCAATGAGACCAGCAGGATTTCTCAAACCTTTATATTCCTCCTTCCCATTAAGGTTGTGAATGAGCTACAGCCATGAAAGTTACCCCAATCGGAGACAAAGGATAGCTCTCGCTTAGACTGAAAGAATTTTTTAGATACCATTTACGGTTTGTCTTCAGCACTTGTTTGTTCGGAGCTGATAATCCCATTCAAAAAAGCCTGAGAACTAAGGAACGAAAGTGAAGCGCATGTCTCTCTGTCACTGACAGGCTCGTTAACGTCGTCAAGGTAACCGTGCTTCAAAGGATTTTACCTCCACCACTTTAAACAGCACATTTTAATCTAATGGAGGGAGACAACACTGATTTAACATTAGGAAGTGGATACAATATGACTACTGGCCATGACCCTTCCCTTCACACGCAACCCTGATAGACT